ACCAGAAAGCTAGCAGGAAACATTCAAGTAGCACTTTATTCTAAGAAATAACAAAGAAGCCTATCTGGGAACTATGTGTTAAGTTTAATTTCAGTTGCTGTGTGTGCCTAAATCTATTATTTTGTCTCTGATAATTATTTATTTTTTCTGTACAAACTGCATAACTCCATGTTTTCCTATGGAAAGTATTTCTAAATTACAATCTGTGATTTGAACAGTTCTTTTTATTCCGCCAGCGCTGAATATTTTCATATGACAACCTAGAGTTAAAATACATTATTTCATTTCCTTTTATTTTGTTTACCTCTTATTATAAGACCGGTCAGTCTCCCAAAGAGGAGAAAAAGAAGAGCTAGTATCCGTAGCTGGGCACCTCAACACTCCCAACAACTATAGTGCCAGGAGGTAGAATTTCTACCATTTTCATTCTCTTTTCTTTTTAGTCTGCCAGAAGAGCACCGTTGCTTAGAATTTTAGAATTTCTGTGAAAAGAGGCTTGTGACTTTCAACCTTTCTCCCTATGGGCTTGGTCATGCTGCTAAGCGATTACTCCAAACTCACTGGAAAAAAGAACCTTCCATAAGAAAAGTGTTGTTTGGACTCTGTTCAATGTTTTAAAACCTTGATCTTAGTCATACTCCTTACGCAGTAAGCAACTGAGCAAAAGCTTATGTTTATTTCCTCTTAAGTATAACAGAATCATTTTCCTCTGACTGAAACCTATATTATGTGATTTCACCTGTGAATGACGTCATATTAGGCCCTCATCCATGTTAAAAAGCATTTGAGGGCTTCAGATTAACATATTGTAGTTATACAATACAGGTAGTTCTCGACTTATGACCCACAATTGAGCCCCAAATTTCTGTTTCTAAGAGAGACATTTTTAAGTGGATTTTACGACCTTTCTTGCCACAGTTGCTAAGTGAATCTGACTTTGCTTGTCAGAAGTTTGCAAAAGGTGATCACATGACCCTGGGGGTGGTTGGTGGCTTGAGAGAGCTCTTTCCACCTCTTTGTTTTTAGCTCTGTTTTAACTATATCTCTTATTATATGGTTTTATGGTCCTAATCTGCCTAGAATCATTTAGAAAGATGGGTAGTGTATTTGCTAAACAAACAAGCAGAGAAAAAATCAGGATTAGAATAAAGAGGTAGGTGTTTAAGTTATTTAGATGGCAAAATAGTTAAATTTCAAAAAATAAAGTATTATTTGCTATCCACATATTAATAAGGTCCTAAACTTTCCTTATCTTCTAAATTTTCCTAAATTTTAATATTTGTCCACTTCAGTAGCTAGAAAAGTATGTATCTATTGTTCTATGTCCAAATTATACAACCAATTTGAATAAAATACCAAAAATATTATAATCCATTCTTATATTAAAAACATAATCATTAAGAAAGGTCACAGATGCCAATTCAGCTCTGCATGTATGTTTTTCACACAGATTTCATATCTAGAAAGCTTTTACACACAGTCATCATCAAAAGATCTCCATCCATGGAAATATTGCTCAAGTTTATTTCTCAGTCATTCATGAAAAAAATCTACTGAGATTTTCTTTCTGAGACATAAAACTATTAATACTATGCCATGGACACTAAAACGTACCACACAATTGAAGATATGCAACTGGAAATATCTGAATGTAGGCTAGAGTATAACTGAAACAACTTAAGATAATAACTATAAATAAAACAACTTCAATAATTTTATTTGGTTTCTTATAGCTGCTCACTCCAATGGACTCTGACTGTGCAGAATAGCAGTGTTTGTTCAAACCAAACTATTACTAAAATTTAAATTTTATAGAAATAATTTCTTTAATATTGAATAATTCAAAAGTATGTCTCAAAAAATCCAGAGCAAAATTATATGCCTGAATAATCATTCAAACACTGAATAAGCAGCAAAATCTAGCAATAGAGAAGTTATTAAATTTAAATACCTTTTACTCTAGGATTTCAAGGCAAAACATTCTGTTCTGTACAATGTGCAACCTTCTCCAAGTTTTATTCTGTGCAATGTCAGGCTGAGATCGTGATCACCCACTGAGTTTCTTTGAACGCTAAACTTGAATCTGGGTTGTCCTAATCTAGTACTTTTACCACTTTAACACTCTGACTCTCATTAATACAAATTGCTTATGGTTGTCAATCCTAAACAAGAAAAATGTAAAGTCCAGGGAGTTTGCCTTTGTTATCTAAATTGCTGTAAGTTTGGCTGCAATTCTCTAACTTCCCAAAACATCAATTTCTAAACCATTGATTTATTGCACTGGATGCAATAAAAAGAGCTGAAACTAGTAAGCAAAATCTACCCATATGTATCACCAATATGTAGGGGGTTTTTTTGTTTATACATGGCCCTGTTCATATTCTCAAGGTTATGTCCTGTACCATAATTAAATTAAAAATTAAAGTTGAAATTTTTACAAGACCATCCTGGTGAAGCCCTACATGGTGTATTTGCTAGAGCTAGACCTTTTTCAGTTGAGTTTCAGGCTGATTACAGTAGTCAATACAGTACTGAGATAGCATTGCTTGCACATACAGTACTCAATACAGCATAGTTAATGACCCATGGTGGAGCCAAGATGGAGCCGACACATTCCCCTGGCTCTCCTTGATCTTTCAGCAGCTTCGTCATAGTATTATTCTGGACCAGCTGGGGGGGGAATAGGATTGATAGGAATAACTGTGACTGATTCAAGTTACTGTTGGGTCTAAAGTCCTTGCTTTGTCAAGGGCTATAGGGGTCAACATTCTCATCCCTCCTGTTTAATACCTACGTAGAGTCACTTGGGGAAGTAATTTTTCAGTCTGAAGTCAAGTATTATCATACGTGGATTACACCCAGTTATCTGGCTAGCAAAGGACTTGTCTCACTGTTTGGGGCCTGTTGAAGTCTGGGTAAGGACACAGATTCAAACTCAACCCTAGGAAGATTGAGTGGCTAGGGCTACTTCAAACTCTTGTGTTTGGGATCTTCATCCTTAAATGGGCTGCATTTCCTCTTCAGATCTAATGTGTAATCTGGTGGTCTTCCTAAACTCTTAGCACCTGCTTGAGGGAAAGGCGTTTGTGAAACAGCTTGTGCCCAGGAAAGCTGTTGCACAAACTCCACTTGTGCACCAATCATGCCTGGAGTGTGAGACCTTCCTTGCGGTTACTCATGCATTGATCCCCTTATGAATGAACCACTGCAAGGGGGTCTACACCGTTCCTGAAGACCATTCAAAAGCCATAACTGGCCCAGAATGAAGCAACACAGGTAGCAACAGGCAAGTCTAGCTGTGCCCATGAAACACGTTTTGTGAGCTGCACTGGTTGCTAATAAGCTTTCGGAAACAATTCAAGGGGCTAGCTAATATCTATAAAGCCCTACATGGTGTATCTGACAGACTGACTGTCTCTCATAGTATTTACAATCAGAGTTAGCATACTTTAGATCCTATCAACTAAGTAATGTCCTCTAATGCAGGGTGACTATGCTTTTTAAATATTATATTAGTCATTTTTTTGTTTTTAATTTTGTAGAGCTGCTTATAGATGTTTAGGAAATTGGGAGGCCTAGAAATTGGATGAATAATTACAATCATATTCCATTCGATCAACATGCATATAAAAGAGATTTAAAAAATTTCCACAGCAGGCTTCCACTTGTATTAAATTTGATAAAGCTATCATTAATACAGCCAAGGAATTCTTTACTTGAAGTTGAATTTCAGTTACATCTCTGGCTTATTTTCACCTTTGCTTCTAGCAGGAATAGATAGAATATTCAAAGCATGACATGGAGATAAAAATACAACACAAAAATACAACGTCTAGTATATTCCCAACCCTTTTAGGAAGAAAAAAAAAAGATCAGCATATAGCGTTGTGGGATATAATTAAAACCAATCTAGTGTAATTTTCAACAAAACCAGGAAGGATGAAACACAGCAACCACAGCTGTTAATCAGGTATGATTTAGGAAAAATGCTACTTCTCCCCAATCTTAAATCTTCACCGCTGGATTGGATTGCAACAGCCTTGTAAGGAGTCTATGGAGATTCTCAGACATCCAGGTCATGGTTGTCCCAAAGGTGCTTCCCCCACCCACCAGTTGCCTCTTGGGGGAAAAAAACACTTTTGGGACAGCCTTGTAAGGACCATAATCTCCTGGAGATTCACAGAAAACATCTAGAAGGAGTTCATCTCAAAACTGTAATTAAAAAAAAAAAAAAATACCGAGCATGAGATGGTAAAAATTCCCCCCCCCCCCAAAAAAAAGCCAGAATACATCCTTGCCTCTGGAATGAAAGATGACAGCCAGTTAAGTCTTTTCTTGTTCCTTGTAAAAGGAAGACGGAAGGAATTGTTCCTGCAGGTTCGACCTATTTTATTATATTTGAAATGGTATTGGATCTCCTGCTTGAGCAACGGGGGGGGGAGGGGAAGGGGGGCTGGACTAGATGACCTCCAAGGTCCCTTCCAACTCTATTCTGATTCGTAATAAAAATACACTGAGGGGAATAACGAGATCTAATGCAGCTTCGGGTTTGGTGGTGTGGGGTTCGATCTCACTCTCCCCCCCCCACTTCCAAATCGGGGGGGGGAATGTCTCATACTAACCCTAACTGGACCACACGAGCCCTTCCTTCGCACGACAAGCTTACCCTCCGCTTCTTAAACTTAAACCACGGTTTAAGGCCCTTATCCCCGTTTTCCGGTCGGCCCGACGGGCAGGCCGAGTTCCTCTCGCGGCCTAAGATGGTGCGGTCCGAATGAAGGGCTTCGAGGGAGGGAGAACAGCAAGGAAAGTCCGGGGAAGGGAGGGTGAGGGGTGGGGGTCTCTTTCAGCAGGCCCGGCTCTGCCTGACTCGAGGGTGGCCGAGCGAGGCGACCAAAGGGAAGCGGCCTCTCAGTCCCCTCAGAATACCCGGGGAGAGGTTTGAGGGCTCGGCTTTCGTTAGGCCGAGAAGCTCCGGGAGGAGGAGGGGGGTCACTCACCAGAGTTGTTGCCGCCGCCGCCGCGGCCTCTGAGGCTCTTCCCGGCCTGAGGCCCCGCGGGAAAGGCCAGCTCGAGCATGAGGGGCCGGGGCTCCTCCTTTTCCCCCCGCCCTCCTCTCCGTTCCTCCTCTGGCGTGGCCGGTGCCGCTTCTTCGGCCCGGGCAGGAGGGACGAAAAGAAGAAGCCGGAGGAAGGGGGAGAAAAAAAAATGTCACCTCAGAAGGGAGGCCGCTGGGATCGCCTCAGCTCGAGCCTTCCGACGTCACTTCCGGCAGCAACAGCGGCGCATACCTGACACAGGAAGTACGCCGGGGAGGAAAGCGGTGCGCGGTCCGGAAAGAACGGCTATGGGGCGTGACGCGGCGTCCTGGACAACGCCACCTTGCGGCTCCCGGACGCTCCTGCAACGGCGGAAGGCAATTGGGCGGGAAAAGCGAGGGAAAAGGGGCGGCATCTTTGCTATAGGCTTCCAACGGTCGCGGAGTTCGAAAGGCGGCGCGCGGACTCTTCGGGCATCGACCGACTGCGCGTGCGCGGAAGGCCGGCAGGCCGGCCAGCCGGCCTGACAGGATTAACCCCTTCTTTTCTAGCCTGTTTTTTTTTTTACTTGACCAGGATTTAGGGGTTATGTGAACAAAGCTGTTAGCCTGCGACCACTTTGCAAAAAACAAAAAGGGTTTACCACAAAAAAGTAGTTTACTACTATTAGATGGAGAAAAATCTTGCATGCAGGACCAATACAAGATATTGGTCAGCTTTTGTACTTTTCCTATTGCTTGGGATCAGTCAACATGGCAGCCCTACAATTCCCACGCACCCAGGACCGTCAACATGGTAGCCTACAATTCCCATGCACCCAGGACCAGTCAACATGGCAGCACTACAATTCCCATGCACCCAGGACCAGTCAACATGGCAGCGCTACAATTCCCACGCACCTAGGGCCAGTCTACATGGCAGCACTACAATTCCCATGCACCCAGGACTGGTCAACATGGCAGCCCTACAATTCCCACGCACCCAGGACCGGTCAACATGGCAGCACTACAATTCCCATGCACCCAGGACTGGGTCAACATGGCAGCCCTACAATTCCCAAGCACCCAGGACCGGTCAACATGGCAGCACTACAATTCCCACGCACCCAGGACCGGTCAACATGGCAGCGCTACAATTCCCATGCACCCAGGACCGGTCAACATGGCAGCGCTACAATTCCCACGCACCTAGGGCCAGTCTACATGGCAGCACTACTATTCCCTTGCACCCAGAACCATTCAACACAGCAGCCCTATAATTCCCACACACCTTGGAGCCAGCCTACCCAAGATGCAATGGGAGTTGCAGCTTAAGACACCTGAATAGCAGCAGGTGGAGAGCTCCCAGCATTTCCCAAAGAAGCAAAATCTTGCGTGAGAATCACTTCCTGATGGGGTTCAAAATGTCAAGATGGCAGCCTTACCCATGCATTGAAAGGAAACTACAGCCACCTATCTCCACAACCCCCATCTCAGACACACCAACAACAGCCAAGCCTCCTACAACTGATCCCATCCCATTGGATTCACAACCCCTAGTGATCACAGAAAAGGAAGTGCAAGACCTATTTCACAGACAAAAGCCAGGAAAAGCTCCAGGCCCAGACAAGATAACTCCTTCTTGCTTAAAAGTCTGTGCTGACCAATTGGCCCCCATCTTCACCCGTATCTTCAATAAATCGCTAGAGATGTGCTATGTTCCTTCTTGCTTCAAACGCTCTACTATCATCCCAGTCCCGAAGAAGCCCACCATCAAGGAACTGAATGACTTCAGACCAGTTGCTCTGACATCTGTAGTCATGAAAACCTTTGAAAGGCTAGTGTTGTCCCACTTGAAAACCATCACGGATCCGCTGATAAGACCCCTTGCAATTTGCATACTGAGCAAATAGATCGACAGATGATGCTGTTAATATGGCTCTGCACTACATCCTACAACATCTTGAATCTCCAAAGACCTACGCAAAGGTCCTCTTTGTAGGCTTTACTTCAGCATTCAATACCATCATTCCAGACATTCTGATAACTAAGCTAAACCAGCTACAGGTACCTGAACGCAGTTGTAAGTGGATCATAAGCTTCCTAACAAACAGGAAGCAGCCGGTGAAGCTAAGCAGAATCACATCAGATACCTGTTCAATTAGGACAGCCCCCCTCCCAAGGCTGTGTGCTCTCCCCACTTCTCTCTATACCAATGACTGCATCTCTAACAATCCATCTGTTAAACTACTGAACTTTGCAGATGACACAACAGTGATCGGTCTCATTCGAGACAATGATGAATCCGCATACAGACGGGAGGTTGAGCAACTAGCCTTGTGGTGCGACTGGAACAATCTGGAACTGACCACACTCAAAACCTTTTGGCACGCGATGGCCCGGTGGGCCCGTTTTTCGGCCTCCCCAGTCTCCAGAACCTTTCTAGGAGCCTGGGGAGGGTGAAAACAGCCTCTCCCCCCCCCCCAGGAGCCCCCCCCCCCGGGAAGCCGGAAATGGCCCGTTTCCCAACTTCCGGTGGGACCGGAAGGCCCGAAAAGCAGCTGGCCAGCGTACGCATGCACACTGGAGCTCAGCTACGGCAACGCTCACGTGCCCACAAATGTGGCTCCACGTGCCACCTGCGGCATGCGCGCCATAGGTTCGCCATCACGGATCTAAGCCGTTCAGAGTTACCAAGTGGTAAGATGGGCGGCTAATAAATTTTATAAATAAATAACACTTTATTGTCAGTAATGATATGTTTACAGTTATTCTTCTGTGAACGAGTTAGATGCAATAACATTTTACAGCACACAATCGGGTAGCCCAATGGCTTGTATAAATCCATACATTTAAAAATTTTATTCAGCAAGACTGAGTATCATGTCCCAGGAAGAAAAATAAATTTATATACAATATGGTATTGTGGCACAACACACACAATTGTTCCCATTTTTCTCCGCGCACCAGAATGATTACACAAATGGTCGTTTGGTCGGCAAAGTTACTGAAAGTGCAGTCATGTCCAGCTTTGTTGAAAATTCGGCCTCCAGGGCTTCCTGCAAAGGGGAAAAAATAGCATCCTGTAAGATTTGTATTAAAGGAAAACAGCTCTTTCTTCAAAACGAAGAATTACAGGTACGACCATAAAGGAGCTCCAAATTTCCGTCACTAAGCCAGATTGTCGTTAAATGAGTTTCACCCCATTTTACGACCTTTCTTGCCACCGTTAAGTGAATCACTGCAGTTTGTTAAGTTACTGACATGGTTGTTAAGTGAATCTGGCTTCCCCATTGACGTTGCTGGTCAGAAGATCACATGATCCAGGGACACTGCAAACCGTCATAAATACGTCTCTAATTCAGGAACTTTTCACGGTTTTCTAATTCAGGGAGTGGCTAAGCACCCGAATTTTGATCAGTTAACAGGAACAGAGTTGGAAGGGACCTTTTGGAGGTTATCTAGTCCAACCCCCTGCTCTCGCAGGAGACCTGTACTGGGGATTCGCACTGCTGACCTTTCTGATAGACAAGCTCAGTGTCTTAGCCACTGAGCCACCTAGTCACGTGACCATGGGGATGCTGCAATGGTTGTTAAGTGTGAAAAAGTCACGTTTTTCAGTGCCATTATAATTTTGAACGGTCACTAAATGAATGTCAACCCTGGCTTGTGGCCATTTTGGGGCTTCAGTGCTGCCAGAACCGGAGCTGTGGGAAAGGGAGGGGAGTAGAGACAGCTGGGGTGCTGTAGCCAAAACAAAATACTTTCTCTTGGAAACCAAGGACATTCCCACTAGGTGTCTAGAAGGAAGGGGACTGGTGATCTAGCAACTGGACTGTCTCCTGATTGGACCATGTGATTGTTTGGAGAAAATGCGGCCGCGTGGGTGGTTATGGGAGCGACGTGGCGCTCCCATGTGACCCCCCTCCTGTGCGAGCTGCACTGGCTCCCGGTGGTCTTCCGGGTACGCTTCAAGGTTTTGGTTACCATCTTTAGAGCGCTCCATGGCATCGGACCGGGGTATTTACGAGACCACCTTCTGCTACCAATAGCCTCTCACCGACCAGTATGCTCCGATAGAGAGGGGCTTCTTAGGGTGCCATCGGTCATACAGTGTCAACTGGGGGCCCCCAGGGGGAGAGCCTTCTCTGTGGGGGCATCTACCATCTGGAACGAGCTCCCCCCAGAGATACAGAGGATCCCGGACCTGCGCACTTCTTTATTTCAGCAGGCTGGCCTGGCCTAACTCTCCTCTTTTAAATTTTTAATTCGTGTGATTTTATAAATTGGGTGTTTTAATCTGTGTTTCGGCCAAAATATTTAATAATCTTAAGGGATTTTTTTAATATTTGTATTATCTGTATTTTATCTTGGCTGTTCACCGCCCTGAGTCCTTCGGGAGTAGGGTGGTATAGAAATTTGATTAAGAAAGACAGAAAGACAGAAAGACAGAAAGACAGAAAGACAGAAAGGAAGGAAGGAAGGAAGGAAGGAAGGAAGGAAGGAAGGAAGGAAGGAAGGAAGGAAGGAAGGAAGGAAGGAAGAACTAGATCAGGGGTCGGCAAGCTTAAACACTCAAAGAGCCACCAAGGTCCTAACTGGAAGCCCCCCCCCCCCCAATTGAATTCTGGAGCCAACCGGAAGTCCGGTTCCCCCCACCATAGAGTCTCCTCCTAACACGGCATCCTTTTTCCTCCTCCGACCGGAAGTCTGGTTCCCCCACCATAGAGTCTCCTCCTAGCGCGGCATCCTTTTTCCTCTACCTGTCCTAATCAAAAGCCCTATCAATTGTGGAGCCGACTGGCGACAGGGAGCTGCAGCAGAGGGATGAAAGAGCCACATGCGGCTCCAGAGCCACGGGTTGCTGACCTCTGAACTAGATGAGAACCGTGGGAACATTTAGAGTCGGTTTTCACCAGGCCGTGCCAATATGACATGTGCAATAAATCTATTCTTCGAGGAATCCACCTGCCTCGGCGTTTTGATTGCTATGGATGTGTTACTTGGGATCCTGACAATGAACTGTTGTTAAGTCGAGGATTACCTGTACTGACTTGGACTAAAACATGCCTGATTTCTTCAATGCCCTTCTTTGTATCCCTTCTTAGCCATCCATGTTAGCCCTGAGACTCATTTCAAATTAATGCCAAGGGAAAAGACCTACCAGCTCCCTCTTGGCTTCTTCAATCTTCACTCGAGCTAGAGAAGGACTCTGAAAAGAAGAGGAAGATATAACAATAGCATTTAGACTTATATACTGCTTTGCAGTGCTTTACACCCCTCTCTAAGTACTTTACAGAGCCAGCCTATTGCCCCCAACAATCTGGGTCCTCATTTTACCCACCTCGGAAGGATGGAAGGCTAAGTAAGCCTTGGTAGGTAGTCAGGTATTGAACTCTAGATAGTGGTCAGAGGTAGTCAGGATTGAACTTCAGACAGTGGTCAGAGTTGGCCTGCACCACCACGGCAAGGAAGGAAGGAAGGAAGGAAGGAGTTATGGAGGGAGGGAGGGAAGGAAGGAAGGAAGGAAGGAAGGAGGGAAGGAGGGAGGGAGGGAGGGAAGGAAGGAAGGAAGGAAGGAAGGAAGGAAGGAAGGAAGAAAGGGCAATAGCAATAGCCCTTAGACTTATATACCGCTTCACAGTGCTTTACAGCCCTCTCTAAGCGGTTTACAGAGTCAGCCTATTGCCCCCAATAATTTGGGTCCTCATTTTACCGACCTCAGAAGGATGGAAGGCTGAGTTCAACCTTGAGCCTGGTGAGATTCGATCTGCTAAATTGCAGGCAGCCGGCAGGCAGCAGAAGTAGCCTGCAGTACTGCACTCTAACCACTGCGCCACCGTGGCTCATTCCATAGTTGTAATGCCGCACGCAGGATTTCCTCGACATCCAACATGCCACAGGTAGGGCATCCCTCCCAAATATTCCATTAGAGAGCTTCGCTGCATTGTATAAATACCCAATATTCTGGCCCACTGTTTATCAACTTTAAGATATGTGGACTTCAATTCCCAGAATTCCTTAGGCAGGTGTATGGGGCAGAATTCATAAATACGCCATTCCTTTCCTACTAAAAATATTGTCTTCCCTCCTTTTTCTGCTTCTGTGTTCCCACTCTCCTTAAACCCAGTTCCCCTAGTGCAGGGCGGGGAGGGTTTTTTTACTCCTGGTCCGTGGACCGGAACCGGGCCGAGGCATGCCAGAAACCGGGCCGCACAAATAAGCGAAGCCTCATCCGTGGGATTCAGTCAGCACATGAAACCACGGCCCCTCCGGTCCTCTCCATGGAACTGGTCCCTGGTGCCTAAAAGTTTGCGGGAGGGGTTACCTTAGTCCATCTTCATCTCCTTTTCTATTCTGGCCTCAGTTTTTAGTGTCCATAAAATGGGTGCAGGACACCTGTCTCCAAAAGACAAGCTAAGGGAGCAGGGGAACGAGGAAGGGAGAGAATTACCGGTGTGAGATCCAGATAAGACTTTATTTTCTTCTTTAAAGGAACTGACTGGTTCTTCAAATCTGCCAGTTTCTGTGGAAATAATACTTTTATTTTATTTTGATTTTTTTTTTCTGTTTTGCTTCATTTCGTTTGTATGATAGGCAGACCCCAACTTACGACCGCGATGGAACCCAAAGCTTTTATTGATAAGTGAACAAATGTGTTAAGTGGGCTTTGCCTCATTTTACGACTTTTCTTGAACACCTTTGTTCAGCGAATTGCTGCCGTTCTTAAGCTACTGCTTGTCAGAAGGTCGCAAAAGGGGATCAATGCAACTGCTGTTACAAACTGAAAACCTCTGCATTCTGTTTGGCTTTTTTTGTTTTTAATTTTTTCATCGAATTATCCTCTCTCTCTCTCTCTCTGTTTCTCTCTCTCCCCCCTCGCTCTCTCCCCTTTTTTTCTCTCCCTCCCTCCCTCCTTCCTTCCTTTTGTTTCTTTCTCTCCCCCCCCACCATCCTTTTCTCTGATTCTTTCTCTCTCTCCCTCCCTCCCTCTCTCCTTTTCTCTGTCTGTTTCTGTGTTTCTTTCTGCTTCCCTCCCTCCTTTTCTCTCTCTCTTTCTTTCTGTTTCTGTGTGTTTCTATCTCCCTCCCTCTTCCTCCTTTTCTCTTTCTGTTTCTTTTTTTTCTCCCTCCCTCCCTCTCCCACCCTCCTTCTCACTGATTCTTTCTCTCCCTTCCTTCCTCTCTCCTTACCTCTCTCATCTTTCTTTGTGTTTCTGTGTGTTTCTTTCTCTCTCCCTCCCTCCTTTTCTCTTTCTTTGTTTGTTTTTTTCTCTCTCTCCCTCCTTCTCCCACCCTCCTTCTCACTGATTCTTTCTCTCCCTCCCTTCCCTCTCCTTACCTCTCCTTCTTGTCTTTTTCTTTCTGTGTCTTTCTTTCTTTCTCTCTCTCTCTCTCTCTCCCTTCCTCTCTCTCTCTCTCTCCCACCCTCCACCTCTCTCTCAGCATCTCTTTTCACTGCAGGCCTTTGGAGATCAGATGCTGGAATCCTGAACATTTTTAGAGAGGCATTTAAGGGCTTAATCACAGCAGTCTCAAATCCCGGCTCCACGTCGCTGAATTATCATTTCCTCCAGCTGCCCAGGTTAATTAAATAACAGCCAGCTCATGTCTCGTACTGTAACGTCGGTGGCATCCCACCCACCTACCTCTGAAAGGGTCACCAGTGATTCATGTGTCAGGGAAGCATCCAGCCCACTCGCAGACAGCTGCTCCTGCAGGGGGAGAAGAGACAGATTAGCAAGAGGGAGCGAGGGGGGGGGGGGCGGAACTAGACCGAAAGCACCCAGAATTACTCATAGGAAACGGACACAGAGATGTAAGCAAAGCCCCTTCCACCATTTGCTAATAAGAACCGGGAAAAAGCAGCAAAGTACAGTAGTGGCCACAATTGTGGAAACCTTTTGGGAAAAGTGTATTTTCTAAAACTAGTTAATAACACCACTATATATATATTTTTTGGAGTAGTACCGTAAAATTATATATCAATGGAAAGATAATTGAATCAAGAATGTAATGCAATCACTTTTATGAAGGATTTACTATTAGAATAACAGTTACAGTATAAAGAAGAAAAGGGAAACACCTAGAAAAAAAGGGAAATACAAAAATGATCACCCTGTCAATGAATACTTCATTGGGTAACTTTGAGCATGAATTACAGCCTTACAACGTCTTCCTATGGAGTGAACCAAGTCTTTTCGTTCTGCAGCTGTTATCATGTGAAACCAAGATTGAATGATTGCTTCTATTAACTGGGTTTTATTGCTGGATCGCTTCTGGCTAAAGTTTCTTCAGTCGGCTTTTCAGTCAGATTTTCAATTGGGTTAAGGTCTGGGCTATTCCCAGGCCATTCCAGCAGTGGAATAGGATTATCTTCAAATTCCAAAAAAATAAATAAATAAAGTGGTGTTATTAGCCATCAAACCTCAAAAACACACTTTTCCCAAAAGGTTTTCACAATTTTGACCACTACTGTAGGAAGCTACTTTTGATGAAATCAAAGAGCTGGCTATAGAAACACAGGTAGTCTTTGACTTACAACAGTTCATTTAGTGACCATCTGTCCAAAGTTACAACAGCACTGAAAAACCTAGGGCCGTTTTTCACACATAACCATTGCAGTCTCCCCAGGGTCACATGATCAAAATTCAGATGCTTCTCAACCGACTAAAGATTTACGATACAGGTAATCCCCGATTTACGACCAGTATTGAGCCCAACGTTTATGTTGCTAAGTGTTGTGGCCCGTACGTGGCCTGTGCAGCTAGTAGCTGGTTCAGACAGCGAGGAGGCTGGTGTGCCTGTGCAGCTGGCACTCGAGTCAGACAATGAGGAGGCTGGAGAAGATGTGGTGCCAGAGGCGGGGATTCAGCCAGGGCCTTCAGAACCTCCAGAAGCTCCTTTAAGTGAAGATGATGAAGTGGAGAAGCCTCTTCTCAATGCATAGGCACACAGAGCTGCCAAAAGGCAGGAGTGGTTCCTCAGGAGGAGGTCTCCTCGAGAGTAAGGCTTGGGGCTAATTGGCCATTCCCTTAGCCTATTTAAGGAGGACTGAAGCAATTTGCAGGAGAACTTCGTTCACGTACCTTTGTTTCTTGTCTTATCAGCTTCCTGCAAATTGCTTCTGGGCATTCTGCCAACCACAGTAAGCTTTCAGTTATTATTCTTTGAATTCTTGGCGGCTGTTAATGCAGTTAATTAATAGCCGTTGTTGTAAAAGACTGATTTATTTAGTAAACCAAGGTTTGAACGGACTTTGTGTGTGCTGCGTTCTCTGGGGCAGAAGAATAAGTGAGAAATCAATTCAGTGAGTTTTGCCCCATTTTATAACTTTTCTCGCTGCATCTGTTAAGTGAATCACTGCCATTCTTACATTAGTGACACGATTGTTAGAAGATTCTGGCTTCCCTACTGACTTTTCTTGTCAGAAGGTCGCAAAAGGGGATCACATGACCCCGGGACACTGCAACCATCGTAAATGTGAGTCAGTTGTCAAGCATCTGAATGTAAATCACGTGACCAGGGTGGATGCTTGCAATGGACGTAAGTGTGAAAAATGGCCATAAGACACTTTTTTCAGCGCTGTTGTAACTTCAAAAGGTCACTAAGCGAACTGACCTATGAATCTGTTTCCTTCCTTGGTCAAATAGGGTGAGCCTTAAAGCAGAAACTGGTAGTTATGTGGATCATCTCGGTTTTTGTGACTGGTGGGCGTTAATAGTCCATGTACATCACTTCTCCTTACCTTCTTCTGTCCAATTTGGTGGCCATCATCACATCTTGGACAGGAAATCCCCTCATTTAATTATGGCTTTATAGGGAAGAAAGGGAGGGAGGGAGGGAAAGAGAGAGAGAGAGAGAGAGAAAGAAAAGAAAGGAAGAAAGAAAGAAAGGAAGGAAGGAAGGAAGGAAGAAGGAGGAGGGGGAAGGGGAAGGAAGGAGAAAGAGAAAGGGAGAAAGAGAAAGAGAGAAAAGAAAGAAAGAGAAAGAGAAAGAAAAAGGAAGGAAGGGAAAGGCTGGGAGGATGGAATGAAGGAAGGAGGAGGAGGGAAGGAAGAAAGAGGGAGGGAGGAAAGAAAAGGAAGGAAGGAAGGGAAAGTCTGGGAGGAAGGTTAGGGAGGAGGGAGAGGGAAGGAAGGAAGAGTGAGGGAGGAAAGAAAAGAGAAAGAAAGAAAGAAAAAGAAAGAAAGAAAGAAAGAAAGAGGGGAAAGGAAGGAGAAAGAGAGGAAAGAAAGAGAAAGAAAAAGGAAGGAAGGAAGGAGAGAGAAGGGAGGGAGGGAAGGAGGGAGGAAAGAAAGAAAAAGAAGGGAGGAAGGGAAGGAGGGAAGGAAGAGAAAGAAAGAAAAAAGAAAGAAAGGAGGGAGGGAGGGAGGGAGGAAAGAAAAGAGAAAGAGAGAGAGAAATCCCAATACAAGAGAATATCTGGAGCTCAGGGTTGATCTGTGGAGTCATTGTTACTCACTGAGCTTTACTAATGATGTCACCTTGTTGGGTGATTGAATATCTGCAAGAAAACCACCAGATTCTGAGAGCAACCAAAGATCCCAAAAATTCAATCCCAAAGTACAAATATTTTCTCTTATCAGTTTTCTAACTTTGAAAGCTAAAAAGAATCCGATGTGGAGAGCAGTTGGCTGGGACGTCACCATTTCCATAAAATTGCCCCCCCTCCACCACGATCCCCCCCAAAAAAATCCTGGCTGCATGAATAGGAATTGAGGCTATTTCCTTCAAAATCCAAGCGTGAGCTATAGCAGTGATGGCTAACCTTTTTTTCCTCAGGTGCCGAAAGTGTGCGTGCCCACATCCATAATGCAATGCCATCCCCTGCGTGCCCTGCCCCCCCCCCCCCCCCCCCCTTCCCACCCCCCCCCCCCCCCCTTTTGGCCCTAGCAGGCCCCCCTGAAGCCCCCTGGGACCAAAAATGGGCTGAAGGGGGGGGGAAGTGTGCCCCCCCACGCCCCATTTTGGGCCTAGTACACCTACCTGAAACCCCCTGGGACCAAAAATGGGCTGCAGGGGGGAGGGGAAGTGTGCCCTCCCACGCCCCGTTTTGGGTCTAGCAGACCTCCCTGAAGGCCCCTGGGACCAAAAATGGGCTGCGGGGGTGGGGGGGGAGTGCACCCCCTCACGCCTGTTCTGTCTCCGTCTCACACACGCACACAAACAGATAGCCAGGGGTTAAATAAAACTGGCAGACAACAAATTCTTCCGATAAGAGAATTGGCAGCAACCCAGTAGCTGCTTGCCAAGAACTTTACTCATAGAGGGAGGGGTTGTTCCTCGGTCAGATAAACCCAAACAAGATACACACAGTTCAAGAATTGTCAAGTCCAGTCCGTATTAAATCCAAGGCAGATAACGTTGTTTCAAAGATACAATGTGACTCGCTAGTAGTTTGTTTTGTCCGTCACAGAGTCTGAATGGCCACCTCACCCCCTTTTATCCCTTGTGGGGTGTGGTCCAGTGACTCAGCCTAATCTCTGGCACGCCTCCTCTTCTGCTGCGTGCGCCTGTCTCTCCGACGCTGGCGTGGAAACAGCCAAGACTTATCTCCGTCATTGTCCGACTGCGAGGAGATACCTGGCTCCTGGCCAATCTCTTCTCCTTCAGGAGACACCTGAGGCATTGCCAGAGAGGAGGGCCCTGGAGAGGGAGGCCTGGCCAACTCCTCTCCTTTATGTTCGGAGCCTTCTCCCTCCGATAACACAGGCTCAGGTAACGGAGCCACAACAACGCTCCGTTTTGGGCCTAGCAGGCCTCCCTGAAGCCAAACCAAAAATGGGATGCGGGGTGGTGCACTGCATGCCCCCACCCTTTTCCCACATGCACGGCAGACCCGAAAATCAGCTTGCCAGCGGGAAGCAAACAAGTATGCACAGTGGGGCTGACCTAGAGCGACGGCTCGTGTGCCTGCAGAGCAGTGGTGGGTTGCTACTGGTTCACCCCGGATCAAGCAAACCGGTAGCGGCGGTGGGCAGCTGTGCCCACCCACCCAGACGCTTCTGCGCATGCCCAGAAGTCACACGCGCAAGCATGCCCACGAGGAAACCAGTACCGATAGGTTTTGAAACCCGCCCCTGCTGCAGAGATGGCTCCCTGTGCCACGGAGATTCAGGTAACCACCGTGGAGCTATAGCATCATTTGTTCTCCATTTCTCCTCTTTTGGGATCCCCTTTAAACAGACGTTCCCAGATTTCAGATGGCGGGATTGGGGACCTGCGGGAACTTAAACCATACTTTTTAAAGGAAAACAAAAATCCTTCTTTCTTTCTTTTTTTGAGTCCCCGAAAATACCAATTTCATTCCCCAGAAATCTGAGCAGTCTCATCCGACTTACCTTGGCGGATCTGATTTCGCATTTGATATCTTCCGACTTTTTCATTAGGAACTCCATATTCTTCATTCGGTGATCAGCTGTTTTTCTTTCCTCTATCAGAAATTTTTCGGTTTTCAGGACATCACTGCAAAGTAGCAACAGAAGAGAGACTATTTATAGCTAAGGGTTGAAGTGTGGGGCCCTCTCTGAGCTTGATAGTTTTCTTGCAGATGTTTCATTACCCAACTAAGTAACGTCAGTGCTACCGAAATGAGTGGGGTTTGTGAGGAGGAGGAGGAGAAGAAGAAGGACTGTAGGATCCTTGTTGCCCTCTGAGCTTGTTTTCTTGCAGACATTCCCTTACCCAATAGGTGATATCATCAGTGTTAGAAGGGAGTGAGGTTCGCAGGGAGGGGGGAAGAGGAAGAGGAGGAGGAGGACTGTGAGGTCCTTGATGCTCTCTGAGCTTGGTTTTCTTACAGATGTTTCATTCCCCAACTAGGTAACCTCACCCAGATTGTATCACTAGCAACCTGTGCTGGGTGCTTTCAAAAACCAGTATCCTCCGTCTGTTTCCTGAACTGCTACCGTATTATCTCCTCTGTTTGGTTCTGCAATGCCATCTGAATCACTAGGACCCAGAATGCATACTTGGCATACATTTGGAAATCAAAAGAGACAACATTTTATTTTTATTTTATTTTATATTGGATTTCTATACCGCCCTTCTCCCTAAGGACTCAGGGCGGTGTACAGCCAGATTAAAAAAACATGCAGAACAAATATTAAAAACAATTAAAAGATATATAAATTTGGCCCAATTAAAACTCATTTACCAATTAAAAACGTTTAAAACATTTAAAAACAGTTAAAAATTTCATCTTAAGCCAGCCCGGCTTGTTTAAATAAATGGGTTTTAAGGGCGCGACGGAAGGCACCGAGGTCTTGGATTCTCCTTATCTCTGGGGGCAGCTGATTCCAGAGGGTGGGTGCCCCCACAGAGAAGGCCCTCCCCCTGGGGGTCACCAGCCTGCATTGTTTGGCTGATGGCACCCCGAGGAGGCCCTCTCTGTGGGAGCGCACGGGTCGCTGGGAGGTCGTCGGTAGCAGCAGGCGGTCTCGCAGATAGCTAGGCCCTATGCCATGGAGCGCTTTAAAGGTGATAACCAACACCTTGAAGCGCACCCGGAAGACAACTGGGAGCCAGTGCAGCTCGCGCAGGAGCGGTGTTACATGGGAGCGCCATGCTGCTCCCGTCACTACCCGCGCTGCTGCGTTCTGGACCAGCTGGAGCCTCCGGGTGCTCCTCAAGGGGAGCCCCATGTAGAGAGCGTTGCAGTAGTCAAGGCGAGAGGTGACGAGGGCATGAGTGACTGTGCACAGGGAATCCCGATCAAGAAAGGGCCGCAACTGGCGAATCAGGCGAACCTGACAAAAGGTCCCCCTGGTTACAGCCGTCAGATGTTCCTCCAAGGACAGCTGCATATCCAGGAGGACTCCCAGATTGCGAGCCCTCTCTGTGGGGGCCAATGACTCGCCCCCAATAGTCAGTGATGGAGTCAACTGACTATATCGGGATGCCGGGAGCCACAGCCACTCAGTCTTGGAAGGGTTGAGCTTGAGCCTGTTCCTCCCCATCCAGACCCGTACAGCCTCCAGGCACTGGGACATCACTTCAAGGGCATCGTTGGGGTGGCCTGGGGTGGAGATGTACAGCTGGGTGTCATCAGCGTACTGGTGGTATCTCACCCCAAAGCCACGGATGATCTCACCCAGCGGCTTCACATAAATGTTGAACAGAAGGGGCGAGAGGACCGATCCCTGCGGCACTCCACAAATGAGAGGCCTCGAGGTCGACCTCTGCCCCCCTGCCCACACAAACTGCGACCGGTCGGAGAGAAAGGAGGAGAACCACCGCAACACGGTGCCTCCCACCCCCAACTCTTCCAGCCGGTGCAGCATGATACCATGGTCGATGGTATCAAAAGCCGCTGAGAGGTCTAACAGGACCAGAACAGAGGAACAACCCCTGTCCCGAGCCCTCCAGAGATCATCAACCAACGCGACCAATGCCGTTTCTGTGCTGTGCCCAGACCTGAAACCCGACTGGAACGGATCTAGATAAGATGTTTCCTCCAGGAATTGCGGAAACTGTCGTGCGACCACACTCTCAACAACCTTCGCCATAAAGCGAAGGTTGGAGACAGGACGATAGTTGGCCAATATTGCCGGATCCAGGGACGGCTTCTTGAGGAGAGGCCTCACCACCGCCTCTTTCAAGGCGGTGGGGAAGTAACCCTCACTCAACGAAGCGTTGATAACACCCTGGAGCCAGCCTCGTGTAACCTCCCGGGAAGCCAGTACCAACCAGGAGGGACATGCCATTTAATTATGACAGATTCAGGTCAATGTGTGTATATATATTTAAAAAGCGTGTAAGTTGAGCCAGCTGGCTAGCTGAAACTCTGAGGGAAAAAAAATTGGGAGCAAAGAAGGGAAAGAAAGGCGAGGAAAGACAAAGCACTTACTCCTGAAGGCGTTTTTCCAGCACAAGCGCTGATGTGAGTTTTCTTCTCAAGGTATTGAGTTCGAGTTCGAGTTCTTTGCTTTTGGATTGTGCTCTGGACAGATCAGAAGTCAAGTCGTTGATGGCAGGAATAAAACTAAAGAAAAAGCCCAGTTAATCATGATTTGTTTTTTTTTTGTTTTTTACATCAGCTGTTATAGTATTTAGCAACTGGTCACTATTAGATGAGGGAGTTTAGGTGAGAGGGGCAGCATACAAGTCTAATAAATAAATAAACAGAAATTTGGAATTTTATTGCAAACTTGGATATTCTCATCTCATTTGTGAGCTTAGCAAGAAGCACTTAAACGACTAATATGTACCCCACAAAAAAAAATATAAAATGTGATAAAGTTGAACATGATTCATTTCCTCTATTGTTCTTTATTCCTTAAAGTATAGGCCACCATTTTGAGGAGAGCCTCTAAATGGAACAGATGAATAAATCAATAAATCTGTACTAGATTCCTACCAAAGTTATTTCAACCTCCAAGTTGAATTTTTTTTTTTTAATTTGATTTATATGCCGCCCTTCTCCGGAGAGTCAGGGCGGCTTACAATGCGCTAAGCAATAGCCTTCATACTTTTGTATATTTATAAAAAGTCAGCTTATTGCCCCCACAACTGGGTCCTCAATTTACCTACCTTAGAAAGATGGAAGGCTGAGTCAACCTTGAGCCTTGGTGAGATTCGAACCTGCAGTAATTGCAGGCAGCTGGTCTTAATAACCAGCTTAATAACAGGGTGCCTTAGACCATTGTACTACCAAGGCTCTTTAATAAACAAATAATAATAATAAACAAATGCTGTGACAGAGGTTATCTAAATTTCAATCATGTTTTAAGCAAGAAGATTGTAGATTTTCAGGTGTTCTACAAACTAATGTAAAAAGACACTGTTCTATAGAGATGGATGGATGGATGGATGGATGGATGATGGATGATATGATAGATAGATATAGATAAATAGATAATGATAGATACCATAGATAGATAGATGATAGATAGGTAGGTAGGTAGTAAGATATAGATAGTGATAGATACCGTAAGAATAGATAGATAGATAGATAGATAGATAGATAGATAGATAGATAGATAGATAGATAGATGGAAAGATGATAGGTAGATTAGATAGATTAGATAGACATGATAGAGTGATAGATACCGTAGATAGATAAATAGATATGGATAAGATAGACGATAGGTAGGTAGGTAGGTAGGTAGGTAGATGGAAAGACAAAATAGATAGATAGATAGATAGATAGATAGATAGATAGATAGATACTGTAGATAGATAGACAGACAGTCATGATTGATCGAGGGAGGGAGGGAGGGAGGGAGGGAGGGAAGGAAGGACGGACGGACGGAAGGAAGGAAGGAAGGAAGGAAGGAAGGAAGGAAGAAAGAAAGAAAGAAAGAAAGAAAAGAAAGAAAGAAAGAAAGAAAAAAAGAAAAAAAAGAAAAAAGGAAGGACTGTTTAAATTTTCCCCAACTTTTCTCTCTGAAAAACTATTAATGATCATGAAGTGCCTGCAATTCCTCCCACATAGTTGGCACTGCAGCATTCAGAAACATTTTCGGAAGGGAGTTCCAGCACCTTGCAAGAGATGTGTCCTTTGTCTCCAGAGCCAAGGCAATATCCACTAGGTTATTTAGGTAGCTCGTACTGGCTTTAGATAGGCTGCTAAGGGAAAGATTCAGACTCTCCATTAAAAGTTCCTGCAGGAAGAGGCCTGGGGAAACAAAGATAAGACAGCATATGTTTTAAGGAAACCTCAGGGCTTAAGTATGCTTGGCCTGAGGCTGACACAATTCCTCTAATCTAATTAGAGAGCCAATTTGATGTAGGACAGGTAGTCCCGGTTTACAGCCATACAGTAGTGGCCAAAATTGTGGAAACCTTTTGGGAAAAGTGTATTTTTGAGGTTTGATGGCTAATACCACCACTTTTTTTGGGGGGGGGGAGTTTCAAGACAATCCTATTCCACTGCTGGAATGGCCTGGGAATAGCCCAGATCTTAACCCCATTGAAAATCTATGGAGCCGACTAAACAAACTTGTTAGTCAGAAGCAACCCAGCAATAAAACCCAGTTAATAGAAGCAATCATTCAACCTTGGTTTCACATGATAACAGCTGCAGAACTAAAAGACTTGGTTCACTCCATGGGAAGACGTTGTAAGGCCATCATTTGTGCTAAAGGTTACCCAACTAAGTATTAACTGACATGGTGATCATTTTTATATATTGCGTTTTTTCTATGGTGATCATTTTTGTATATCTTGTTTTTTCTACACGTTTCACTTTTCTTCTTTGTACTGTAACTGCTATTCTAACAGCAAATCCTCCATAAAAGTGATTGCATTACATTTTTGATTCAATTATCTTTCCATTGATATATAATTTTATGGTACTACTCCAAAAAAAAAAGTGGTGTTGTTAGCTAGTTTTAGAAAATACACTTTTCCCAAAAGGTTTTCACAATTTTGGCCACGACTGTAATGGAGCCCAAAATTTCTGTGGCTAAGCAAGACAATGGTTATGTGAGTTTTCTGCCCCATTTTATGACCTTTCTTGCCACAGTTGTTAAGTGAATCATTGCAGTTGTTAAGTTAGTAACATGGTTAAGTGAATCTGGCTTGCCCATTGATTTTGCTTGTCAGCAGGTCGCAAATACGCCATCCTTCACTTAATCCTCCAAGGAAAGATTGAAGGCAAATGAGGTCCAGGCAGAAGAAGAACATCATGGCTTCAAAATCTAAGGGACTGGTTTGGACAAAACTCAGCAGCACTTTTTCGTGCGGCTGTTGATAAAAATAGGATCACCAACATCCGATGACGGATATGGCACAAGAAAGTCGCAAAAAGTGATCAAATGACCCCAGGACATTGTAGCTGTCATAAAAAAGAGTCAGTTGCCAGGCACTCAAATTTTGATCATGTGACCATGGGGATGCTGCAAATGGTCATAAGTGTGAAAAATGGTCATGTCACTTTTTTTCTCACTGCGGTTGTAACTTCGAACGGTCACTGAATGAATGGTTGTAAGTCGAGGACTACCTGTAGTTAAAACACTAGGCTAGAAACCAGGCGACTGTGACTTCTAGTCCCACCTTAGGCATGAAAGCTGGCTAGATAACTACCTCACAGGAAAGTTGTTGTGGGGGAAATAGGATGCGGAAGGAATATTAGGCACGTCCTCCCTTTCAATAAATATTGCTACTTATCAAAACAATAAAGGCAGGGAATAAATTAATCTCACCATCTGACTCATACTCCACAGCTTTCTGCTTCATATCTTCAATTAATAAATGGACGTCCCCATCTCTGGACTCATTGCATTCGGCCAGCTCATACAAAATATCCACTGTCCGTGCGTTCACTTCGAAAAGAGGAATCGGCTGCTCCCCAAAAACATCCTTCAACCATGAAGTGACCTGTTAGAGAAAGAAAAGAATGACGGTTTTTCTCCTCCATTTTGCTTCCGGGATACAAACACATTTCAAAAGGTGAGTAGGCGTAACTGTAATATTTCAGTGTCATGGCAACATAGAATTTTTATTAATGTATTTATTTATATCCCGCCTTTATTTTATTTTTTTTATAAACAATTCAAGGTGCCAAACATACATAATATTCCCTCTTACTTCTCTTTTCCCCCACAGTAACAACTTTGTGAGGGTGGATTGAGCAGATAGAAAGTAACTGACCTAAAGTCACCCAGCTGGTTTTCATGTCTAAAATGGGACTAGAACTCACGTCCTGGTGATTGGCCCAAAGTCACCCATTAGTTTTCATACATAAACAGGACTAGAACTCACTGTCTCCTGGTTGATTGGCCCAAAGTCACCCAGCTGATTTTCATACATAAGCAGGACTAGAACTCACTGTCTCCTGGTTGATTGGCCAAAGTCACTCAGCTAGTTTTCATACATAAGCAGGACTAGAACTCACTGTCTCCTGGTTGATTAGCCCAAAGTCACTCAGCTACTAGTTTTCATACATAAGCAGGACTAGAACTCACTGTCTCCTGGTTGATTAGCGCAAAGTCACTCAGCTAGTTTTCATACATAAGCAGGACCTAGAACTCACTGTCTCCTGGTTGATTGGCCCAAAGTCACCCAGCTGGTTTTCATACATAAGCAGGACTAGAATTCACTGTCTCCTGGTTGATTAGCCCAAAGTCACCCAGCCGTAATAAGGAAGAAGAGAACATGGAAATTGCTCCTCTAACAAATATCAATCTTTTTTCTAGAAGCTCACAAATCGTATACAAAAGCTTTGAGCCTGGCAGGATATTATTTGCTAAATATTGTTATACTGGAGCTGCAGAATCAAATAGTTGGAAAGAATTAGCCCAAACCAGGAAACACAGAGCACAGGGAAACGTGTCTTTTCAGGAAAATCTTTCCGATCCTTGTAATTTTTTATTCTTTCTTTAAAATAATAATAATAATAATAATATCCCCGAATGGTCTCAGCCTCGCTCACCTTCGATACCTTTTCCTCCATTCTGCTTTCGCTTCGCCCTGCGGTGCAAACTTCCCGCTTCCCCTTTCTCGGTCGCTGGCCAATGACGTCATCGGAAAGAAGGGGCTCCTGGGAGTTGTAGGCCGGCGGTCGGTGCTCCTTTTCCCCTTGCAATAGCCTCAAATAACCCCTTGCAAGGAAAAAGAAAGGGCGTGTCTTCTTTTTGTCCTTTTAGGTTCAAGGGTTTCACTCGGAATAGAAGGTAGAAGGGGGGAGGGGGAAGTAAATAAATAAAATACCCTTAGCATCATAGAATCAAAGGGCTGGAAGGGACCTTGGAGGTCTTCTAGTCCATCCCTCTTCCCAAGGCAGATGATACCATCCCAGTTAAATGGTTGTCTAATCTCTTCTTGAAAACCTCCAGTTGCTGTCAGAACTCCAGAACCAGGTCATATAAATACCCTTTGGAGGGATGTCGGTCATAACTCTGAATGGTCACTAAACGAGGACTGTCTGTATCCTTTTAATCTTTGTCCTGATCCCATCTATCTATCTAATATTGTCTTACTATATAGTAGAACTGAGTGGGATAACTGCTTTAAAACACTTTTGAGCCAGGTGGATGCCTCCCACTGCCCTTGATTGAGTTAAATTTATTATTATTTATCCTTATTATCTTCTTTACTCACCCTTTTATTGGCATGATGATGATGATGATGATGCTTTGCATCTACACTGAGTGCTTTCCCTGAAGGTCCTTTTTCCAGAGACAAGTGGACTTTCTTGGTTTTTCTCTGAAGACGTTTGGCTTCTCATCCAAGAAGCTTCTTCAGCTTTGACAGGATGGTGGGGAATAAAAGGATTTATACTCCTTGCAGATAGCTGGTCATTTGCATCCTTTTAGAGGGTCGTTGAAGCCCTTGCATGTTTATCTGTGTCCTCAGGGTCCCCTGAGAGGTGCTCCTCGTTCCTGTAGTCTGCAATTTTTTTTCTCTGGAAATCCATTCCAAATAGGAAGAAACACACTGGAAACACAGAGACTGCTTGAAAAGATGGTTTAATGGTGGACAGGACCACATGGTTTTGAGGTCCTGGGCAAAAAAGCACATGGGTGAGAGAGATTTATACCCTCTGTTGGGCTTTGAATTTGAGCTTGCATTCTGATTGGTTGTCAGACTCCCATGCGGCCATGCAGGGGTAACTTTGTAGGTTGTCTTTTGAGTCCCAGGCCTGGTTGAACCTTGCTGGGTGATGATGTAATGAAGAGGGTTTGGGTCAATTCCTATTATTATGGATGAGGGCTAATCCTACCTTTGTTGGATCTTGGGTGAGGGCATTTGCTTATGAATAGACCTAGCTATCTCTTCATCTCTTAAATGCTGACATCTGCTGTGGGCTTTTGAGAGTGTGGGGGCTATTAAGAGTGAGCCTGCTTCCTGCCTAAAAAACATGTAACCCCATTTCTCATCCAGGGAAATATAATATTCTGCCTTTTTAATATGCCTCTATTAGAGGAATATTGGAATATTTCATTCTTCTAGGAAAGGGGTGGGTGCTAATTTCCTACACCGGTAAGAGGAGGTTATGGCTTGAATAACCAGATGCCAAATCAGAAATTAGCCATAATTAGATTTTGGGGTCCTGTAGAAATTAACACAGAAGGTTCCTTGATGGTTCGGTCAGTGTATTGTATCACGTTACTGTAATGTGGAAACCAGGTCAAACCAATGGAATTACGATTCACTTAGCCGTTGCTAGGAGGTAACACTGCTTGTAAATCATGGTTTATTACCAGCATGTACACACCTGATTTTGCTGAATCTGAAAACCACCCATCAAACATGAATGCTGCTTGGCTGTCTCATGAATTCTGGGAGTTGAAGTCCACAGGTTGTAAAAGAGCCACATTTGCCCACCCTTGGTCTAGTCTAACAAAGAGTAGGACAAAGGGTGACATTATAACAGTCTTCCAATACTTGAGGGGCTCTCACAGAGAAAAGGGTAACAAGCATCTGAAGGCAGGATAAAAAGCAACTGGTGGAAGATCATTATTTTTATTTATTTATTTATTTATTTATTCATTCATTCATTCATTCATTCATTCATTCATTCATTCATTCATTCATTCATCAAATTTCTATACCGCCCTACTCCTGGAGGACTCAGGGCGGTGAACAGCCAAGATAAAATACAGATAATACAAACATTAAAAATCCATTAAAATTATTAAATATTTTGGCCGAAAACAAATTTAAAACACCCAATTTATAAAACAGATTAAAACGATTTAAAAATTTAAAAGGGAGAGTTAGGCCAGGCTAGCCTGCTGAAATAAAAATGTTTTGAGAGCACGATGAAACGTCCAACCTAGAATAAAGGAGACATTTCTTGTCTGTCAGGGAGAACAGTTTAATAGATTTTTTAAGATTAATAAGAGTTGGAAGGGACCTTGTTAGGTTGTCTAGTCTGGGTGTCAGCAACCTGCGGCTCCAGAGCCACATGCGGCTCTTTGGGCCCTCTGCTGTGGCTCCCTGTCAGGTGATCCTACCACTGGCTGGCCCCTCCGCTCCCCCTCCCAGTCACTCCTTGCCTGGCCTGAGAAGGTAAGGTTGACGGCAGGGGATGGAGAAGCAGCCGGGGCAGAGAGAGAGATATGTCAAAAGGATTTTGTGGTTCCCGGTGTTTTTTTAACAACTGGTTCTCTGCCCTAATGACTGACTGAGTAGGCGTGGCTAGGTGGGTCATGTGACTGGTGGAAGTGAGTGATGTAGAATTGGCCACGCCCACCCAGGTTTTGGGGCTCCCGGTGTTTTCCTTTCTGTGGGAAACGGGTCCAAATGGCTCTTTGAGTGTTTTAAGGTTACAGATCCTAGGTCTAGTCTAACCCCCCATCCAAGCAGGAGACCCTACACCATTTCTGAACCGTTTAGAGGCCGAGTGCCTAAACTGCAACCCAAAACCCACTTATTTGAGATCATCCGTGGCTTTGGGGTGAAGTACCACCAGTACGCTGATGACACCCAGCTGTACATCTCCACCCCTGACCATCCCAACGATGCCCTTGAAGTAATGTCCCGGTGCCTGGAGGCTGTGCGGATCTGGATGGGGAGAAACCGGCTCAAACTCAACCCTTCCAAGACTGAGTGGCTGTGGTTCCCGGCATCCCAATATAGTCAGATGACTTCATCTCTGACTATTGGGGGCAAGTCTTTGGCCCCCTCGGAGAGGGCTCGCAATCTGGGAGTCCTTCTGGATACGCAGCTGTCCTTGGAGGAACATCTGACGGCTGTAGCCAGGGGGACCTTTTGTCAGGTTCACCTGATACGCCAGTTGCGGCCCTTTCTTGATCGGGATTCCCTGCGCACAGTCACTCATGCCCTCGTCACCTCTCGCCTGGACTACTGCAACGCTCACTACATGGGGCTCCCCTTGAGGGGCACCCAGAGGCTCCAACTGGTCCAGAATGTGGCTGCGTGGGTAGTTACGGGAGCTGCATGGCGCTCCCATACAACACCTCTCCTGCATGAGATGCACTGGCCCCCGGTGGTCTTCCGGGTGCCCTTCAAGGTGTTGGTTATCACCTTTAAAGCGCTCCATGGCATAGGACCTAGATATCTTTGAGACCGCCTGCTGCTACCGACGGCCTCCCATCGACCTGTGCGCTCCCACAAAGAGGGCCTCCTCGGGGTGCCATCAGCCAAACAATGTAGGCTGGTGACCCCCAGGGGGAGGGCCTTCTCTGTGGGGGCACCTACCCTCTGGAACCAACTGCCCCCAGAGATAAGGAGAATCCAAAACATCGGTATCTTCCGCCATGCCCTTAAAACTTTCTTTTTTCAGCCAGCCAGGCTGGCTTAACACTTTTAAATGTTTTTAATTGTTTTTTAATTATGGGGCCAAATTTATATATATCTTTTTAATAGTATTTTAATGTTTTAGTTTATGTTTTTATTTGGCTGTACACCGCCCTGAGTCCTCAGGAAGAAGGGCGGTATATAAATTTGATATAAAATAAAAAAAATAAAAAAAAATATTTATCGCAAAGTGCCAACACGGCAACTTAAACCTGAATACCGAGGTTTTTGTTTAGAAAAAAAACAACTCGTATGTGATTAACATCTTTTGTCTTGCTCAAAAAACACAACGACGGAGCTTTCAATGATACAAACAACTTTTTATTGAAAGGTAAGTTTGCATTTGGCACGCTTTTGAACAATTACTGTGATTTTTGCTGCCGTACGCGTGCTGATAATTTGTCTAACCTTGGCTCATACTTTGTAAGTTTGAGAGCAACGCATGCAGCCCTCAGGTCATCTGTTAGTCTGTTTCCGGTGTCAGAATTGATATCATTCAAAGCTGAAAACAGCTGCTCACAAGCATAAGATGATCCAAACAAAGTAAGGAAAGCGATCCCAAGTGCTTTCAGTGACTTAAACTGATTTGGCAGATAATTCCACACTTTAAGGATTTCATTTTCAGAACTAACTGTGCTGTCCTTTGTCATCCCTTCTATCTTCTCAAGTGTTTCACGCAGGTCACAGAATTTATTTTTCCACAGGGAGCTTTCTTGAAATTCCACTAGCTCCATTTCTAGATTTCCTAAATCTAACCACTGTAAGCAGGAAAGATCAAGTTCTTCGAATTTGGCTTTTTCCGGGGAAGTAAGAAAACACAGGGTTGTCTCCATCTTACGGAACTGTGAAAACCTGTTACTAAACTTCACCTTTGCAGCTGCTACAATGCTAGAAAACTCCTTGTAGATTTCCTGATGGCTTGTAGGATTGTCTGCAAATGTTGTAGACTTTTCTAAATGCCTTTTTAGATTTGGAAAATATTTCAGCTGCCCACTTTCAAGGTCTCTTTCAAAAACCTGCAGTTTCCTCTCAAACGTTTTGATATCACAAAACATCCTTTCTGCTATTTTTCCTACACCTTGTAGTTGTTTGTTTAGTACACTGAAGTGTAGTGTAAAATCTGTAAAAAACATGAGGTTGGTAAGCCAGGCCATATCAGTGAGCTGTGGATATTCCTGCCCTTTTTCATTCATAAACAGCCTAATTTCATCCAAGCAGGCTACAAATCTCTC